CCGCGCTCTGTCCCCGGTGCGTGCGCCGTCCGCAGCCCCCGTGGTGTGGCGCCGCCGAGCGCGGAGGCCAGGCCGTGTGCCCCACTGTCTGTCTGCGGTCCGCTCGGGTGGACCGCTCACTGCTAGCGCCGGGACAGTGGGGCTGCGACCCCGGCCCACTGGGCACGCGCTGCACGCTCCTGGCCCTTGCTGGCAGTCGTGGGCTGGCGCCACCTTCTGGCCTTGGTGAGAACTGTGCTGTGAGCCGCGGTGCGGATCTGGGGCGCAGGCCGAGGGGCGCAGGCCGAGGGGCGCAGTGGCGGGCGGGCCTGCGCTCACCTCTTCAGCTGCTCTCCGAGGCGGCCCTGGTGTCAGGTTCCTTCCAGCAGTGGGAGGCCCCCCATCTCCTCCCCGCAGCTTGGTTCTGTTCTGTTCCGGCTCGAGCTTCCTTGAAGGTGTGACCTGCCGGCACCGCGCTCGGCGCTGGGGATGCGCCTCCCCGAGCCATACCTCCAGCCCTTACTGTGGTTTGAGCTGCGCTTCCCTGCTCACCAGTGCTCGGTGGACATTTGTCCCCCTTCTTGGGAGAGATGTTTAGTTCAGTCCTTGGCCCATTTTCAAACCATGAGCAAGGACATGCTTTCTGTACAGCCCAGGCTGGCCTCCAACTCTGCGACCTTCCTGCCTCAGCCTCCTGAGGGTTGGGATGGCAGGTGTGCACCAGTGCGCCTGGCAGGGACTGGCTCTCTAGGGTGTTGAGTTTCGAGGGGCTCAGTGCGGGGATCTGTGCCCCTGCTGGCGCCTTCCTGAGTGCAGATGAGACAGCAAGGAGCCGTGGGACCCCGTGTCACCCCTGACCTGCTCGGTCCCCTCCCAGGCCATGGGCATCAACGACCTGCTGTCCTTCGACTTCATGGACGCCCCCCCGATGGAGACCCTCATCACGGCCATGGAGCAGCTCTACACACTGGGGGCCCTGGACGATGAGGGGCTGCTCACCCGCCTGGGCCGCAGGGTGAGGGCAGTGGCCTGGCCGGGCCAGGGCTGCGGGGCCCTAGGTGCTCGCCCCCAGCACGGGTCCCATTCTCTGCCATCACCGGGAGCCATTTCCTGTACGGGGCGGGGAGCTGGGTGTGGGCCAGGCTCTGTCCCCGGCAGCCTGGGCCCGCAGTGTGGGTGTGGCTGCCCCTGAGAGCCTGCGCCCCATCACAGATGGCAGAGTTCCCACTCGAGCCGATGCTGTGCAAGATGCTCATCATGTCGGTGCACCTGGGCTGCAGCGAGGAGATGCTGACCATCGTGTCCATGCTGTCTGTGCAGAACGTCTTCTACAGGCCCAAGGTGACCAGGGACCGCGGGCGGCAGGGGCGCGGGCAGCCGCTGTGGCCGGGAGATGAGCAGGAGGTGACCACCACCCCTATTCGGCAGGACAAACAAGCCCTCGCTGACCAGAAGAAAGCCAAGTTCCACCAGACGGAGGGCGACCACCTCACGCTGCTGGCCGTGTACAACTCCTGGAAGAACAACAAGTTCTCCAACCCCTGGTGCTACGAGAACTTCATCCAGGCCCGCTCCCTGCGCCGGGCGCAGGACATCCGGAAGCAGATGCTGGGCATCATGGACAGGTGGGGGTGGTCCTGGGCTGGTGTGGGACCCCCGGGTGGCATGGCAGGCCATGGGCTCCTGCCTTCGTGCTCCTCCCAGATGACAGTGCAGCTGCAGAAAATTCCTAAAAGGGGGTGCAGTGCTGGTTGTTTACAGCCTCTAGAAGCCAGGCATGGTGGCGCATGCCTGTCATACCAGCTCTTGGGAGGCTGAGGCAGGAGGATCGCATTGCATTCAAGGCCAGCCTGGGCTGCATAGCCAGACCCTGTCTCAACAAACACAAAAAGCCCCAAGACCAAGCAGACCCCCTAGAACACTGGGCCTAGGATTACACGCCTGGCGGCTGGTTGCACCCACTGTGTGGAGCTGTGGTGTCCTCAGGGCTGAACGGCAGGCGCTGGTGACCACTGTGGGGACTTCGAGGCAGTGGCCTGGTGCCGTCCTCCCCGGGGTAAGTGGCTTATGTCTCCGCCTGCGACTCTCGCCTGCCAGGCACAAGCTGGACGTGGTGTCATGCGGCAAGTCCACAGTGCGCGTGCAAAAGGCCATCTGCAGTGGCTTCTTCCGCAACGCAGCCAAGAAGGACCCGCAGGAGGGCTACCGAACGCTCATCGACCAGCAGGTGGTCTACATCCACCCCTCCAGCGCCCTCTTCAACCGGCAGCCTGAGTGGTAGGTGGCAGCCCGGGGTGGGGGGTCCGGCCCTGTGTCTGGGGTTGCTGTTCCCGGAGCAGCAGAGGCCGGATGGGGTGCAGTATGAAGCTTTTCAGGAGAGAGCGCCATGGGGCAGAGGAAGGGCCGACTAAGCCTGTTAGTGAGGCGATCCAAAGCGTGTTAGAGCAGCACTTAGGGGAACGCGGGGCTCTTGAGCTGGGCATGGTGGCGCACACCTGTCCTCCTGGCATGTAGGGCCCGAGATAGGAGAATCCAGGCAAGTTCTAGGCCAGCCTGAACTGCCTGGGGAGACCCCATCTCAGAAACAAAACAGAAAAATCAGGCACTTAGAACTCCAGTGTAAAAATGACTTGAACTCAGTGTGCTCCCATGGTAGAAGGGTTGGGGCCTTGCCCGAATCTCCTTGGTATTTGGGGTCCTTTAGGACCCCAGAACTCTGAACGAGAAACTGGGATCAGAGAAGGCGTGACAGGCTCTGTCCTGGAGCCCTGTGTCCCGAGCCCCAGGCTGCACGGCTGGGTGAGGCTGTCATCCACAGCCGGGGTCGGGGGGCGGGCAGGCCGGGCGGAGCTGAGCGGCTGTGCTGTGCCGTGCTGTGCTGTGCCGTCCCGCAGGGTGGTGTACCACGAGCTGGTGCTGACCACGAAGGAGTACATGAGGGAGGTCACCACCATTGACCCGCGCTGGCTGGTGGAGTTCGCGCCCGCCTTCTTCAAGGTCTCTGACCCCACCAAGCTCAGCAAGCAGAAGAAGCAGCAGCGCCTGGAGCCCCTGTACAACCGCTATGAGGAGCCCAACGCCTGGAGGATCTCTCGAGCCTTCCGGCGGCGCTGAGGCCCTGACGGCGCCCTGAGCCCTGACTGTGCAGTCCCGCAGAGCGGAGCCCGGCATGGCTGGAACTGCAGCCCTCACCTACGTCAGGGACTTGGGGTCACCCTGTGTCGCCTCCTGGAGAGGCAGCGGGGGGGAGGGAACCCCCGTGGCATCCGCCTGCTCCCTCCCAGCCCTCCTGTCCTTGTCCATCTCCTCCCAGAAATATTTATTTTCTTAAAGAAATGAGAACGGCTTCCTGTGTCTATCTTTATCAGAGGTTGGGATGCTGGCCGGGGTCAGGCTGAGGGGCTGCTGGGTCTGCACCCTGGGGGTGTGGCGGAGAATCCCGGAGCCAATCCCGGCACCTGCCACGTGGCCTTGAGTCACCGAGGCCTTGCAGGGCACTGCAGGCTGGTGCTGCTGAGTGCCTAGTGTGTCCTATACCGGGGATCAAACTCAGGACCTTGCACTTGCAAGGCAGGCGGAACCACTGAGCCAAACCCCTGGCCTGTTTCCTTTTGAAACATCCCGAGGGGTGCCACAGCTCGTGTTTCATCTCCTGTGTGTCCCCTGCCACCATGGGCTTCAGTGAAGGGGTTTTGTGTCCCAGCCACCCTGCCCAGCAGAAAGCCAACCTCGCACCCCCACCCCAGAACTTTCTTGGGTTTCTCCTCAGCTTGTCTTGCCAGGCAGTGGCCCCCGCTACCCCGCAGAGCTGACAGCTGCCCCTGGGGACACTGGGGGGGTCTGGTGCCCCTCCCCAGGTCAGCAAGCCCTGCAGTACTGGATGACTGTGTGCCGGACGCGAGGCCTTGCCGAGAGGCACTCATGAATGTGCCCTGTAGACGCTGCTCACAGGGCTGTTGGGGCTGCTAAGCCAGGTGACCCCCCATCTTGCCCCAGTCTTAACTCAGGCCCAGACCGACCTGGCGCCATGCCCAGCACCCACACTGAGGGAAGCTTTGGTTTGGTACCACTGGGGATAGAACTCAGGGAGCTCTACCACTACGCTGCATCCCCAGCCCTTTATTTCCAACCGGATGAGGTTGTCAGGCTGGCCTCGACCTTGGGATGCTCCTGCCTCAGCCTCCCCCTCCCTGTGTGCAGCACCACCCGCAGCAGGGTGGGTGTCTGGCCCTCTACTGAGCTGGTGTTTCTGCTATGACGGAGGCTGGGCTTGGCCTCCCGCTGTCCATTGGAGCAGCTGCAGTGACAGACCTGGGTCAGCTGGGGCCTGGGGAGGCAGTTGCCATGTTCCCGTCAGGGCCAGCATTGCCCAGACCAACAGCCTGGGGGTGTGGACACCCTGGGTCCAGGGAGCCCAGCTCAGCAGACCGAGTGCCCAGAGTCACTGTCCCCAGGACGCAGGTGACTGTGGTCAGTGCTGTGCTCAGGGTGGGGCTGGTCCACTTCCCCTGCCCCGACCTAGGGCTTCCACCTGATAATGGCCACGCCATCACGTGGGACTAAATTATATGTATTTTAAAACTTGGAACAGATTTTGCCCCTTGCTCTGAATCTTCAGTGTGAACCACGCTGTTGCTAAGATGAATGAGCTCACCGGTGGGGAGCTGGGGCCTGGCCACACCTTGGCACCCCTTCCGCCCTCTGCCCCACCGGACTCTGGGCTCTGATTTGGGCAAGGGCGCCAGCTCAGCCCTGGCCAGGTCCTCTCCACCCTCCTGGGCACCTTCCCCTCAGTCCTCAGACAAATCCTGTGTCCATCCGGGAGGAGGACATGCACGGGTGAACCCAGGTGGCCACACCCCAGGCCACTGCCCACTCTGGCCTGGCCTCACGTCCCCAGCCTGGGAGGGGGAGGCAGAGCGCTCTGGCGGTCGAGTGTCCCTCCGTACTTACACAGAAGCGTTAGCTCAGTCCCTGGTTGGCACCTGCCTGGGGAGCACAGAGCAGCCGGACACTTGGGAAGGCAGGGCCTTTATTAGAGTCTGCCAGGTGCACAGGAGGAGGAGCCCATCCCTCTGCCCGGCTGCACCCCGGGGTCCTGCCCCTGCCCCACACAGCACCAAGGATAAACAGCCGCACCCTTGGGCCACAGCCTGGAGGCGCAGTTGGGGAGTGGGGTGCTCAAGAAACCCCAGGCCGCAGTGCCGAGATGGAGATGTGGTAGGGCGCGGGAGCCCCTTGGTCCACAGGATGGGGGAGAGGCGGAGCCCAGCTCCTGGGGCGGGGCTGAACCCTCCTTTAGGCCAGCCCTCTCCCCGCTTCCCCTTCCCAGTCGGGAAGGCGGGGATCAGCCCAGGTAGAGGGCTCGGGTTCTGACTATGTACATGGGCAGCGCACATGGTGGCCAGGCAGTGCGGGGAGCTAGTACGAGTAGCCACCCTTAGGGCCAAAGGGCTGGGCAGGGCCACCCAGCTCGGGGAGGTAGGCTGCACTCTCGTCCAAGTGGGACAAAGGGACTGTGTCCTCCTCGCTGACCGGCCACTCAAACTCGGCCTTCAGTGCGGGCCGCTGATTGTCCGGGAAGGCCAGGGAAAACAGGGCTTCAGGGTCGCACACAAACTTGTACACGTAGCGCTCCCCGGCCACCTGCGGGGAGAGGGCTGGGTTCAGCCCCGGGGCTCGGTGCTCAGTGCTCAGGGCTCAAGCTCTTCTGAGCAGGGAACCGCGGGGCCATTGTCACTCCTGTGCCCCTGGACCTTGCCGGCAACGCTCTCCTGCCCGCCCGCCCGTCCCATGCCCTGCCCCATGGGGACCCTGGGTGACCTTTTGCATGATGCCCTTCTCGTAATAGTACCGCAGCGAGCGACTCAGCTTGTCGTAATTCATGGCCGGCCGGTTCTTCTGGATGCCCCAGAGCCGGGCAACCTGGGGACCAAAGGACCAGGTTCCAGGGTGGAGGAAACAGGCAGGTTCAGGCCTGGCTGGGGGGACAGGGCTGGGCGGCACCCACCTCCTCAGGTTCGATCAGCTTGAACTCCATCCCCCGGCCGGTCCAGGCGATGAAGTGGGCATTCGTGGGGTCGTCCAGCAGGGCCACCAAAAACTGCCAGAGCTGCAGGGCACCTCGGCGCTGGTAGGGTGGCCCCTCTCGGAATGCCCCAAGCCCTTCCTGCTTGATGTCCCCTGGGGACACCGAGGAAGGAGGTGTGGGGCTTGTTCTGTGGGTCCCCAGCAAACCTGTTCCACTCCCAGGTGTCCCAGGGGCCTGGCCTGGGTCCCCACCTCCCACAATGCTGATTCCCATTCCTGAGGGACGCGGGGCTGGGGAACCTGGACCCTCCCTCAAAGTCGCTTCTCTGACCTTCAGATTTCTCAGGGACCACACAGACGTCCTCCGGGAAAGGTCGCAGAAGGTTCTCATAGCCATAGCCTTGGGGAGGAAGCGGGGGGGTCAGGTCAGAGGGTTCACCGCCCTGGGACCCTGGCGGGTGTGGCCGGGGAAGGTCTGCCTGGCCCCCGAGAAGCCCTCTGCGTGGAGGTGCATCGAGGCACAGCCAGGGACATCTGTGGGGAGCGGAGTGCTGTTTAGGGGTGTCTGGGTGTGGGGCTGCTCCTCGGCCTGCCCACTGCCAACTCCTGGGCCAAGCCCCTCCACTCAAGGGCTGGGGTGGCTCAGCTGGGCCAGGATTCTGGGAGCAGCTGTTTCCTGTGCACCCAGGGGGACGAGGGGGCGACCTGAACCTCCGGGGAAGGAGTACGGTGTCCTGGCCTGGGCCGCCCTTGCACCGGAACGGATCCACGTCCGGCTAGCAGGTCGGGTTCCCTGCCCTGGGCCTGAGAACGGGGGCGTGCGTGAGGCAGGCGGCCGTGACTCGGAGCTGTTTTCCGGCCCAACAGCCACCACATTCCACCCCGCGGCAGGCAGGGACCCTGCGCAGCACCCCTTGGAAGCCACCAATCCGGTCCCAAGCCCGGCGCCTCCTCCGCCCTCCACTCCCACGGTGAATGAGGCTGAAACCTGACGCCTCTGGGAGGGAGGCCGGGCTGGGTTCCCTCACCCTCCATCTGGTGAATAGAATTCCTGACTCCATTCAGGACCAGGCGAGGGTGGAGTTCAAGGGCAGTGCTGATGCTCCCGGTCTGCCCCACTTGTCAAGAGGTGAAGGCCGAGGGCCGCCCACCCCCCGTCCCCTCCTGGCCAGGCAGGCTCAGGCCGAGCTGCAGGCCGGCCACGGAGCCAGGGCCAATTCTATCGCTCTCAGCAGCTGCAAGCCTCCTGTCTTCCAAATTTATTTTTTCTTTCTTTTTCTTTTGATACTGGGGATCGAACTCAGGTCCTTGCGCTTGTGCACCAGGCGGGGAAACCACTGAGCTAAATCCCCAGCCCTGAATTTATTTTTTCTACTGCAAAATTGCAGATGAAGTCAGCTTTGGGGCTGGCATATGTGGCAGAGAGAGGAAGGGGGAGAACTCTTGCTATGGTCACAGCTGGCTGAGTGGGAGGAAGTGGGGTTCACAGCAACAGGCCCTGGCACCTGCTTCGGGGCGACAGGGATGTGGGTCCCCTGGGAAGTGTGAGCCTGACTAGTGTACAGTGTGTCCTCCACTCAGTTCCCCATCCTGCTCATCCCTGTCCCCTCTCCCGGGCTCCTCGGTCTTAGATCATTGAACCCCAAACACCTGGTAGGAGTAAACGCCTGCATTTCCTACTGTCTGCACACCCTTCATCTCCTTCCACCTCCGCCCCTGCAGTACTGGGACTGGACCCAGGGCCCTCACACTGAGCCGCACCCCAGCCCTTTTGATTTATTTTGAGTCAGTGTCTCAGGAAGTTGCCCAAGCTAGGCTCAGACCTGTGCTCTTCCCGCCTCAGCCTCCTAGAGCGCTAGGATGACAGGCCTGTGCCACCACGCTCAGCTCCCTTCTTTTTACCTCTGCCTGACTGATCGGAACCCAGTGTTTGAAAAGAAAGCCACTGGGCCAGGGATGTAGCTCAGTGGTTTCTCTGCCTGCTGCGCAAGCGCAAGGACCTGAGTTCGATCCCTGGTACCGAAAAAACCAAAACCAAAAACAGAAAAGAAAGCGAGTGAGTGAGTGGGCTTCTGAGCTGGAGGACACGATGAGCAGATGAGAGGCCCGTGGGAGGCCCGGGGCCCGACCGAACCACCTGGCGTGCGTCGCCTGGGAGGGCAGCCTCTCACCTGCGTGGTGGGCGAAGTCTGTCTGCTCCTGCTTGATCAGCACCCCCAGCCCCGGGTGCCTGTGCCCGCCAAGCCCGGCCCTGCCCGCCTGCTCATACAGGGGGTCGTGGTACTCCTGCTTGAAGCCCTGGTGTGGGTACGGCGGGCAGTGCTCGGGCAGCAGGTGCTGGTAGGGGGCTGCCAGAGGGTCTCCGGCCCCTCCCTGGGAAGGTGTGAAGGAGCGGCAGGGATCCAGGGGCTGCTGGAAGACAGGGCTGGGTGCGGGTGGGCGGGGAGGGGAGCAGGAAGCTCACATCAGCCCCTCCCGGTGACTTCCCGCTCCCCAAGCAGGGGCAGCATGGCCCACCCTTACCTGCGCTCCCCGAGGTACCGGTGGCTGGGCTGGGGCTGCAGCTGGCCGGGGCCGGAGGACCTCAGGAGACTCCGTGGCTCCGCCCTGGGGAAGGGCTGCAGGGGCGACTGTCCAGGGGCGCCGGGGGCCGGGGACTTGATGGCGATTTGTCTGGGGGGGTCATGGGCACTGGGGGTGAGGGGAAGTGGGGTGAGGGGGCGAGAAGCAAGGGGGTGACACAGGAGTGGAGAAGGAGGACAGGGTGGGGTTCTCCCGCTCCTTCCTGTCCTTGAACTGGGCCTAACGGGAGCGGCTGGTCTGGGGGACAGACACACAGGGCCAGCAGGTGTCCTCCAGGCTTCTGGGCCGGGAGGCTCCCACACAGGAGCCAGGGACCCCGCCGTCGTGAGCCTGTATCTCCATGCGTCTACTCAAGGGTGGGTGGGGTGCCTCCCTCCTCGGCCCCTGACCCCTGAACCCAGTGTCACTGGCCTTACCTGGAGTAAAGGCACTGCTCGCCATGGTGGAAGGGGGGTGGTGGCTTCTGGCTGCAGGACAGGGCCGGCTCTGCATTGGGACTCTGGGGCTCCTTCTTGATCCGGGTGGTCGGGCTGTGGAAAGCTACTGCGGGCACAGCAAGCCCAGAGGCGTCACCCGGTGGCTCTGACTCCTGCCCTCCGAGGCAGCTCCTGCCCTCTGGGTCTGTTTCCCGAGATCCCTGGTCAGGCGCTTGAATGCTTCGGTGTTAACATGTTTCTCCCGGTACTGGTGATTGAGCCCAAGGCCGTCACACTGAGCACCAGCCCTAGACCTTTCTTACTTTGAGACAGTGTCTCCCTAAGTTCCTCTCGAAATCTTCCTGCCTCAGCCTCCCAAGAGTGCTGGGATTAAGGCGAGCACCATCATGGCCTGCTGGCTAATATCCAGTATTAACCGAGGAAACCGTCTGAAAGTCCGGCTCTGCATGCAACCCTGGACCCCAGAAAGCTCCTTCCTGGTAGTGAGCACCTCCAGCTTGGGCCTGTGGTTCTCCTGCGGCCTGGGAATTCCAAGGGAGGGGCCTGTTCTCTACTTAGGGCTACGAGGAGCCCTATGAAGGCCGGCGGGCAGCCTGCTTCTGTGTCAGCTGAAGGACATTAGACACATGCTCCCAGTTACCCTCGAAGAACGCAGCCTTTCCTGTAACCCACCGGGCATGGCCGCCCACGTGAGCCAGGCCCCGGCCGATGGCCCACCACCTGCGGATCTGCCGCCTGCTAGGCTTGATTCTTCGTGACAGTTGACAGCAAGGCATCTGTCACGAAAGCCCTGTTTCTGCACAGGAGCGGTGCTGACATCGGGGCCAGACTGTACTTTAGACTGTGGGGCGCAGGAAGCCGAGGACAACAGGCCCAGGCCGTGCTCACCCCCTTCCTGGGGAGGGTCGGAGAGAGCCAGCGTCCGCCCCAGGCTGCACAGCAGGCAGGGCGAGCCCCAGGCCCCAGAAGGGAACCAAGGCCTTCTCCTCGCTGTCTCCGTCCTGAGGCCCCGCCAGGGGTTGGGGCCCTGACCAGCACCCCTTCCTTAGCAGAGGTGGCTGGGCTGCGATCCCCTGCCTCTGACTCACTTCCTGTCCTCCCGGCCCCACTCCCAGCTCCCGGCCCCACTCACAGTTCTCCCAGTGGAAATCAGGAACGAACTGCTCGTCGCTGTCCGGTACCTGAGCTGCAGAGAGACAGAGGGTGAGGCTGGGGAGGGGTCCTGGGTGGCAGTGCTGGAGGCCGCTCTGCCTCTGCAGGGCCACCGCCCGCCGGGGGAGCACTTTCTTCCCCAAGCTCCCCACGGTCACAGCAGGAGTCCCAGCCAGGGGGGAGACCCTGAACCCAGGCCCGGGAATCTGCACTGGGACGGCTTCTCCCCCGTCGCGGTGCGAGGGACAGTGGGAGAACTACAGAGCAGCAGCAACCCGCGCCAGGGCTGTGGTTGCCCACCTGGCTCCCAGGACAGCGTCGGAGGGGCACCTCCCCGCCGGGGCCTCGGCACTCCTGCTGCGGGGAAGCAAAGCTCCGGGAGGTGCTCTCGGCCTGTCCCCATCCAGGGCCCGTGGTTTGGGGCGGGCCTCTTCACCCCTCCCCTCCTTCAGGCCCCTCCATCTTTGTGCAGCAGAAATCTCACTGCTCTTATGCACACCAAGTATGAAATCCACGTTCTCTCCTTGGCCTCCAAGGCCCTGCTCACCTCTCCTGCGCGCCTGCCCCTGCCCAGGCCCTGGTCTCCTCCGTCCCTGAGCCCCAGTGAGCCAGCTTCTCCTCCCCACAACCCCTGGCTGCTGGGTTTCTGGCCACTCGGGTCTCAGTCACCTCGACACCTTGTAGAGGTCACCTCTGGCCACCCAAGCAAGGCAGAGCCTCCTTGCTGGGCATGGTGGTGCATACCTGTCACCTCAGCACTGGGGAGGCTGAGGCAGGAGGATCGTGCTTTTTGGGCTACACAGAGACTCTATCTCAGAACAAACACAAAACAAAGCAACAAAGTGGTGCCCCCCGGCCCTCCTCCGTCTATGTTTTATTTTACCCAGCAAGTACTGCTACTTGGACACGTCTCTCATGCTGTTCTCACATTCAGCTTATCCCGCACCACCACGCTGAGCTTGAGGGCTCAGCTGTCTTGTTCCTCGGCTTCTCCAGGCCCCGAGCAGGGTCTGGCTCAGAGTGGATGAGCCATCACTTTACTGGGGAGCGCACATTGATGCCTGTCCTTGGGGTGGCAGCAGCAGCTCTCCCCCACCCGCGCCACACAGGGCCCTGGGAAGCCAGCACCGCATCTCCCGAGGACGCTTCTGGCCTGAGGGACGCGGTATGGCAGGAGGGGAATGCTCTGAGCGGCCCACAGTCGGCCTCCAAGCTTGACACTCTTTCAAGTGCTCCCGCAACTTGACCCAGACCTAGAAACTACTCCTGACCTCCTCCAGTCTGCCTCTGTCCATTTGCAACCGTATGAAATACAAAGCCTGCGGGGTGGCAGCGCGTGAGTTATCTTCTGTTAATTACACAGTGTTCCAAAGAGAATAAATACAGGGTTATAGATCATCGATTTCCCAACAGGGAAGTGAAGCAGTGAGACTCAGCAGCCTTGGCGGGTGAAGAGCTTGAGTCGCCAGGGCCGGGGGCAGGTCCACCAGTGGACCCCAGGTCCCTCGGCAGATGCATCCCCATGCACACGCACACGCACACGCAGATGCACACAGCCAGCTCCACTCGTCTTCCTGGGATCCTGGTGCAGCACAAAGGCGGCCAACCCCTGACTGTCTGGAGCTGGTTCCCAGCCTTGTCACCCCCAGAGCTGGCCAGGCACCCCGTGCCCTGCTGACCTTTAGGCACAGGCCCCCTTGGCCATGTGTGGTGGCCCACACCGGCTGAGCCTGGATCACACAGCGAGTGAGACCTGGTCTTGAAGCCAACAGAACAGGTGCCTTTGAGCACTGGAGATCAGAAGGGCACAGAATCTGCTCAGCCACTGGGCTGCAGGGCCCAGATTCACCCTGAGACCCCCAAAGGTGGTGGGAAGGGGGCACTGGGAGCAGGGGAGCAACATTCCCCTCCCTGACACTCAGGCGAGGAGGGTCTGGGGGCAGGGGTGCAGATGTCGGGCACTGATGCACACTAGGGTCCCCCTGGGGTCTCATTAGCTGTCACTTGCCCCTGAGGTAATGGGCTGGGGGCGGCTCCGGCGTCACTAGACAGCAGAGAGCCCTGGGGTCACCACGCCTCCTCCTGCCTTGGGCCTGAAGGTCTCCCCAAAACCCCCCAACTTGCAGATCACACCCAAAGGCCAAAGGGGCCGTGCAGCCCGGCAGGACCCTTCTCCCAGTGGGGACCCAGCCTGGTCACCCCGGGACTATCCACAGGACAGAGACCGTAGCAGAGCCTGTGTTCCTGGAGCCAGGGAGGCTGCAGGAACTGCGTGGGATCTTGGGCGTAGACTGCTGGACTCACCTGTCGACCTGGCTGAGTTCTGGCCATGGGTCCGACCCCCTCTCTGGCCCCACCTCCATCTGAGTACAAAGGTGCCCGGGGACGGGAGAGAACAGGGGTGCAAGGAAAGAGGAGGAGGCCCCAGGCCACCCAAAGTGGGCCATGGAGGATGGGGAAGCTGGAGCCCCCCCAGGACCCCCACCCACCCGGGAGCTCCTGCTGCGCTGGAAGGGACCAGCTTTCTGCCTGTTGAGGGAACACCAACTCCACGAAGCAGAAAGATGGAGGAGGCGCTGAGCTAGGAGGCCTCAGGAGGAGGCTCACGCACCTCCAGCCCTGGTCCTTGATGCGCACCCCCAGCACACCGTGTGCACTTGGAGTCTCTCTGGGTGGGGAGCCAGAGGAAGAGGGTCGGGAGCAGGGTCCTTCTCTCCCTAGGAAAAGCCAGGCGCCTCGGGGCCCGGAGCCCCCGAACAATGGCAGGGTGGTCCCTGAGGGTGTAACACAGGCTTCGGGAGCTACAGACCCCAGCCTCACACGAGGACATCGGTGGCCCAGCACTGTTCCCTCCTGACCAGCGGGCCACAAGGCCACTGTCGCCCAGGGCTCCTGGAGACTCCAGCCAAGCCCAGAAAGGAGCCCAGGACCAGAACCAGCACATCTTTACCACAGCTGCACATGGCCAGGGCTCAGCCTGCCAGAGCCTGGGTTCCTTCCCTGGCAGCCTGACCTTCTCTCCAGCACCCGACAACACCTGGGCACCCAGAAACCAGATGCGCCCTCCGAACCTCGCAGCATCCTCCTCCGTCCAGAAAAACCCCAAGCGCAGACACGCGCAGCCCCAGGCCGCTTCTGAGCAGCCCCTCCAGCCTCGCCCGGCCCCACCCAGGCCACCGGTCCTGCTTCTTTCCACGCTGGGGCTGCTCTAGTCCCCGCTTCTCAGATGTGCCCCACCAATGGCGAGTGTCCGGAGGACCTGGCCTCTCCCTGCCACCCCAAACCCCACCCTGGACAGCAGAGGACACTGACCTGGCGGGAAGAGGCAGGAGAGGAAGCCGGGGTGGTGCTGGGGTGGGGCGGGGGCACAGGGCCCCGGCAGCTGCATCTGGCTCCACAGAGAGAGCAACAAGGAGCGAGTGGCCTGAGCATCCCCCTCCGGCCTGGCCACCAGTGCCAGCTGGAACCTGAGCCTCCTCCCAAGGAGGGAGAGGGAACCACGGAGCTCCCAGCCCCCTCCGCCTGCATCCCCACCCACTGGATTTAAATGGACAGGGACTCCCGAGGCAGCAGCCCAAAGCAAGAGCGAGCACGCGCGCGCGCACACACACCCACACTCACACATGCACACCCCATCACACTGACACGAGCACACACAAACACCACCATCTCTACACCCACCTCCTGGAGGGGGGTGCTTCCAAGGATGAGATAAGAACATCCCCCCATTCCAAAGGGAGGGACAAACAGACCAACTGCTGCCAAAATGCCAACCTGAGAGCCACCCCTAGCTCGGAGCCCGAGAGCTGCCCACTGGGGGACCCTCGGCTGACAGCCAGGGAAGGGGCCTCGACAGCCCGACCGCACCAGGGGCTGGGAAAGGAAGTTGTTGAGCACCTGGAAACCAACACCTTCGGTATGAGCCCAGCTCTGGAACCTGGGGCGGGGCGGGGGTGGCCGGGCACAGCTCTGCCCACAACTAGGCGGGTACTGGGCACTCGAGGCATGCAGATGCTGGGGAAGGTGCCCACAGTACCCCAGAAGCCTGACCCCTCCGGCACCCACGCAGCGTGTCCGCCCCTAACTCTCCCAGATGTTTCGAAGGCACACTATGCATTTTGGAGGGGCCACAGTGGTGGACAAACCAAGTCTCCCTCCATGCATTGATCGAGTGAGGGGGTCTTTTGCTTCTGCCCTGAACACCCAAGGGAGTTGGGTTTGAGCTTAGAAAATAACTGCCCGAAAAAGACACTCAGGATGGATGAATAGGGAAGTCCCAAGGAAGAGAAGTGCCCTCAAAAAGGGGTTCCCAGCATTCTGGGTTCCTGTTCTTCAATGTTAAAATAAAGGGGTGTTGGGGCCGGGGATTTAGCTCAGTGGTGCCACCGCCTGCCTGGCAAGCGCAAGGTCCTGAGTTCGATCCCTGGTACCAAAAAATAAAAAAAAAAATTTAAGAAAAGGGGGGGTTAACCAAGATGGGGTCGTTAACCCTTTCCTCTCGGAGCTGTCTGAAGCACAAGGGCCGCCTGCACCCCGCCAGGAATGCCCTTGGGCCCCACTCTGGCCAGCTCACAGCTGTCCCCAGAAATGTGCAGAGGGGGGCTTTGCCCGGCACAGGTGCCACCAGGAGGGACGCCACCGCCTTTGGAATTACAACTGAGGCTGTTGAGGAGGCAGCCCCTTCCCCTCACGAAAGCGCTGAGAAAGGAACTACTCAAACCTGTATTCTTCTTAGGGCCTGGACAGTAAATTGGCCCTGGGAGGTGGGAAGAAGAGAAACCGAGAGGATTCGAATCAATGTTTGGGCAGCTCTGGAAGATGGGTACCAAATCAACTGCTCCCTCTTGTTCTCCTGCCCCCAGACTCCAACACCCCAACACACACCTGGACCCGGCAGCTTCTGCCAAACAAACTTTGTAAGTGAAATTTTCAACTAGGAAAACGGGCCCGGGGCCAAGTTCCATTCTAATAAGCAAATACCCCACACAATGGTCTGATTCATCCCCAGGCCTCATTACAGAACCCTGGGTCGAGCAGAAAAAATAAATATCAATATAAGTGTCCGCGCGGGGCACAGGGAGGGCGAGGCGAGGCGAGGGGAGAGGACAGAGGAAGGGGGCAAGGCGGGGGTACTAGGGGCTGCGGGCCTCTGCTCCAACAACAGAAAGGTCACAAAACTCACCTTCCGCCAGCCACGTCTCCTGGAAGTGACTTAGATCCTGGAAGAGATCTGAGGGCGAATGATGGGTTGGGGAGGCCGAGGTGGGGCTACTGGGAGGAGGGGACCCCGGTGAGCCCGGGGCTGCCCACCCGCCCTGGGGTAGGTGCCCAGAATGAGCGGGGGGGGGGCTCGCCCCTGGGCCTCACTCTTTACCTTCCGAGTCGGGGGGCGGCAGGGACCCGGGGTCCATGAGGTTCCTCTGCGGAATCATCAGCCCTTCGCGCAGGCTCCCATTTCCGGACAGTTTCTGCGGGGAGGGGCGGTGGTGCCGGGGTCACCCAGAGCGCCTGTGGGTGGGAGGTCCCGGGGTGGGGTCGCGGGGTCCCGGGGTGGGGACGCTGGGTGACGGGGCTGGGCGGCGCTCACGCTGCAGGCGCTGTAGGGCACTTGTTGGTCCAGGGATCCGCTTTTCGTCCTCCGCTCCATCCGGCCACTCCCAGGCCACCCGGTCGGGCCACGCGGGGGCACTGGGGGGTGGGGGGGGCACTGTTCCGAGAGAGCTGCGGAGGGGGGCGGGGGGGCGGTCCTGAGGCTCAGGCAACTGCAGAACTTCTCTGGCTCCAGGACGGCGGGGAGGGACCTGGCGCCCACGGGGTCCCACCTGCTGGAGGCGCCTCTCTGCGTTCGGCTCAGTTACCCGAGATGCGTGTGCACGTGTGCGCGCGCGCGCGAGATCGCTCCCCACCCCGCGCCCCCTCCGGCCCCACATCCCAGCGCCCCCCGCCCCCACCTGGCCTGGGACCTGCGGAGGCGGCCGCAGGCAGAGCGCAGAGCGCAGAGCATGGGAGGCGAGCGGAGGTCACGACTCCCGATCCCGCAGCCTCACCTGAGACCAGGGCGTGGGCGTGGGAGCCGCAGGGGTCCCGAGCCCGCCCGGGACGACGCCAGAGCCGCGCGGCGGGGCGGGAGCGAGGCAGCCCCTGCCCGGGTCCCCGCGAGCAGCCTGCTCAGGGCGCCGCGGCCGGTTGTGAGCCCGGGGGAGCCGCTGATTGGTGCGTTTCCTCCGCGCGGCCCCCACCCCGCCCCGCCCGCTCCCTTTGTTTCATTGACTTTAGTGAATGAAACCCCAAGGCCCGGCCAGCCCGCCAATCCAGAGGCTCGCTCGCCGAGCTGGGGGCGGGGATTCCCAGGCGCGGAGCCAATTAGAGTGTAGGGGCTGGCTCTTGGCTTCTTTCACGGCTTGGGCTCCCATTCATAAAAAAAATAAACTCCTTCCGACCAGAGTTCATTCATAAAGATCGGAGGGAAAAGGAGCGAAGTTGAGGTCCCGGCAGCTCCTCCGCGGTGTTCGGCGTGGGCACAAGTCTGCGTACATCCGTGTGCAGGGGGAGTGTGAACGTGTCTGTGCGCGCGCCTTGGCAGGGTGGGGGCGGGGAGCGCGTGCCCAGAGGAGCCGTAATAATTGGCATTTTTGAAGCTCCGGTTCCACGTGCTCGTTTCGTTCCCACAGCCGGGTGCGGCGGAACTATTGTTTCCACTTTACAGATGCTGAAAACGAAAGCTCAGGCGGGAACCTGAGTCCACCGAGGTCCATCAGCCGGTCAGCACCCCAGAGTTCACAGCCCCTGACCCCTCGCAGCCCTCGAGGCCGCGATTATGTGAAGGATCTTGACCTCAATGAATACACAGTAGGTGCTCAATAAAGGGGAACTGGCACGGAATCGAAGCCCTTTCTCGGGTTCTGTGCTCAGCAGAGCTGTTCTGAGACCCACTTTCTCCTGAGTGCTGTGGCATAGGCCCAGGTGGAAGATTCTGAGAGTATCTCAGCCATCTTCCCTCTTCCCTGGAAGCAGCAAAGGACCCTGGGAGCAAAAGCCCCAAGTCCCTGGTGCTTTGCACAGGAGCCTCGGTCAGGCCTGAGCTGGCTGTGGCCTCTGTCGCCTCATGCACTCATCGCTACATCCAGTGGCTGCTGTGCCAGACGCAGAGCCTCACAGCAGGCAGGCACTTGGGACCTGGGTCCCCACCTCTCCAGAGACTGGGCTCAGAAGCCAGCCCTGCTTCCTGCAGGCTGCACTATCACCTGGGACTGTGCAAACCCCGGGCCCGGAGAGGCTGCTTTCAGAAGGCGTCTAATTTAATGCCTCCTCCTTCAGATGTTGAGGTGAGGTCCCTAGACCTCAGGGAGCTGCTTAGGGCTCATCTCACAAGATCAGCTCAAACGAGAGAAAGTGAAGTCTCTCCTCTCAGCTGAAGGCTCTCAGGTCCTGCCCTCCCCCCAGGAAGCCTGGGACGGCCGCCTCAGTTCCCGGGTGTTCTCGCCCCATCTGGGCTGGGGGAAGGGCTGTCTTTCATTCTGCTTCATGGGGTAGAAGCCGTCCATAAACACGGGGGTGAAGGAGGGGTCTCCTCTGTCTCTGGAAATCTTCCCAATCCTTCTTCAGGCCGAGAGGGTTTCGTGACATACTTGTTTGGCAAACAAGTACAATAAACACCACACTAATGGTGCTTAGCAGGAACCCTGCCCAAGGAAGGAAGGACAAGTCCCAGCAAATCCCACTTGGGCTGGAAGGAACCAGTTTAGGCCGAGAGAGGTGGGGAGGCAGAGGCTCCCACAGCCCTCCTGTGCTCCAGGACCGTGCAGGTCCCCGTGGCCTGGGGCTGCAGAGGGGCCGCTCTGGGGCAGGGAGGGGTCCTCCCCATTCCCATCCTCCACGGGCTGGGCAGGTACTGAGGCCCTTCCTGCCTCTCTGGGCCACTGCAGCCACCTCTACTGTCACCACTTCTGACCCAAGGCCCAGGCCTGGAGCAGTAACAGGCCCTCTTCCGAGCCATGGGGAACCACACCAGAGTGACATCACCAGCCAGCCTCCTGTGCCAGCTCTGCTGTCAGCGCTGGACCTTTGGGAACCCCTGTGACTGCCCCCAGGTGCCAGGAGCAGTGCTGTGACTGTCACCTTCAATTTACAAATGAAGGGATGGAGGTGCACAGACCTGCACCCAGGGCCACCCAGCAGGTGACCTCATGGACACAGAAAGGGGGCACCTGGGGCCTTGCAGGGGCTCGAAGTCCCCTTGGGACACACCTTTGGGGGAGGGGTGGGTCCCACAGCCCTGCTCTCTCCCCTGCAGTCGCCTGGGGGCTCTGCTCTGCCTCCCAAGAGTCTCACTGATAAATTTAGCTGGTGCAGTGGCTCAAGCTGCCTGTAATTAATCCCCATTACTGGGGAGGCTGAGGCAGGAGGATTCAGAGTTTGAGGTCAGCCTGGGCTACTTTGGGAGTTCAGGGCCCTGAAGGCGGGGGATAGGCTTTACTTGTGCAGGGAAAGAAGGGAGAGGATCAGAGGTCTCAGGGGCTCCGCAGCCTCCAGGAAGCAGTCCCTCTGTGGGCAGAGGGCTGGTCTCGGTGCTCTGGGTTAGGTTCCTGGGGACATCCCAGGGGTGACCTGGAAATGTGCCCATGGCCCAGGACCGCTGAAGTCCCAGGGGCTTGGAGGGCCGAGCTCAGAAGGAACCTGGACAGACCAGGGACCCAGCACAGAGGGGAGGACCGGGGACAATTACCATCCTCAGCACTGTAGGGGCTCCAGGCTGGAGCTGTCATGGGCTGGGTGCATGTGTGGTGAACCAGACAGCAGAGTGTGGAGTGGGGTGGGGAGTCTGGGGCCTTTGCCAAGGGCCGGGGGTCAGGACCACCACCACCACCAAACTACAAAGCATTCTTTGACTTCCTTTTTTTGTGTGTGGGGGAGATGAGAAAAGTTCCTTTTTTGTTTTAATTTTTATTTAATTATTAGGGTTTTTTTTTTTTCCTTGAGACATGGCCTCGCTGTGTAGTCCAGGCTGGCCTTGCACTCAGTATGTAGTGTGCGTTGGCCTGGACCTCACAGTGATCCTCCTGCCTCGGCCCGCTGCGTGCTGGGATTAGAAGTGTGCACCCCACACCTGGCAAGTTCTTGTTAGTAGTCCAGGTTGGCTTCAGCTGCAGATCCTCTAGCCTCAGCCGCCAGCACCCGAGTGGTGGGATTATAAGCATGGGCCTGTGCGCTGGGCTCCCCTGCTGTCCTCACCACCCCAGCTGTACGTGGCTTCCTCTAAAACACAGGGCCTCTGAACGTGGACCCCAGAGACCAAGTGCTGACCTGGGGGTGAGTTCCTTTTTCTGAAGAGGGGCTGCAGGGCTGTTAACAGAGTCGATCTATGACCCCCCCATCCAGGTTAGAAGCCGAGGGAAGGGCAGCCTGTGGGAGAGGGGAACGGAAACTGCTCTCCTCCCTCATTTACCTCCCCTTCCCAGGTCCCTGAGATCCCACGGCAGCCATAGCGACCACCTGGGCCTAAGACAAGGGCATGGACCAGGCAGGGCCACTCCACCCAGGTGGGCACCGAAATGAAGCCCCTCCTTTGTGGCGGTGCAGGGTGGGGGGCGTCCCAGGAGCCTTGAGGGGGTCCCCCACCTGAAGGAGCTCCTGGGACATGCAGCAGTCAGGATGGGATGGGAGACCCTCCGGCGGGGTGTGGCAGTTGTGTCCTTCTCAGAACGAGAGGACCAAGATGACTTCCGGGAGCTGAGCCGCACCCCGGGAGGAACTGGATTTAGGGTTCTTTGGGGGAGTCGCCACCTTTCGGGGAGCTGTAGTTGGAACTTGTCAGCAACCCAGTGCAGCTCCACTCCCAGCCCCAGATTTTGAGAAAGGTTCTCGCTTAGTTGCCCAGGCTGCCCTTGAACTTGGCATCTTCCTGCCTCAGCTTCCTGGGTGCTGGGATGTCAGGCGTGCGCCACAGCGCGGGGCCTATTAGAACATTTCTAAACAAGTGGAATCACTGTGTTCTCCTTTCCTTTGGAATGTGGGCTCCGAAGGCGAGTTTGGGTCAGTGCTGGCAGCCAGGAGCCAAGGGTGTCCTGAGGAATGCACTTTGTATTTTTAGTGGTGCTGGTCACTTCAGCTTTCCGTTTGTTGCGGGCAGCAGCTCGGGACTCCCTGCAAACGCAGCGCCTCTTTTGTCCTGCTCTGGCCCTGTGGGCCCTGACTCGGATGGAACTCAGGGACAGGCTGCTCAGTGTGCTGCGCGCGGGCGGGCGGCTCTTTTCCTCCTTTTGAATTTTCTGTCAAAGGGAGACAAATGAACGCCCGTCAGCGGAGTCTGAAGGATGAGGGTGGAATCGGAGCCAGTTGGGCCCATTCCAGGATGCTCCCCTTTTTAATTAAGTGTGGACTTGAATTATGAGGGGCCGCGGCTCTGGCAGGGGGCTGCGTGGGGAAGGCGATTTCTCACCGAGAAGATTAAACATCGCGGCTCCACTTAGCCTCCACTCGTCCCCGAATGTCTATATTTGCTCTTCCTCAGGAATAATGGGCGGCAGGGTAGACACCAGCTCGCCGGGCAGGGGTGGCCTCGGGTGTGGAGGCGGGGGTTCAGGTCTCCTGGAATCCTCTTCGGTGAGATGGGGGGGCTCTGATTTTATTTCTGAGGGGTTTTCTCCCTCCCCCAAACAAAGCTCTTTCTCCTTTCTTTCTTCCTTTCTGCTGACCCACATCCCCAGCCCTTTATTTTTATTTGGCTCCAGGATCTCCCTAAGTCGCTGTTGCCCAGGCTGGGCTCGAACTTGCCATGCCCTGCCTTAGCCTCCTGGAGTGTTGAGATGACAGGGGTGTGCCTGGCTGAAACCTCTTTCTTCCGTCCCTGCGGCCCCTTCCTGCCTGCTGCAGCTGGAGCTAACCCCTCTGGGTTCTCGCAGCGACCTGGCCCAGACTCAGCCGGTGGGTAGGGTGGTGGTTAGTTCAGGGGCTGGGACCCGGAGATGAGCCCCCTCCTGGGTGGGGGTGGCACTGCCTGCCACTCCTGTGCTGAAGGACGCAGCATCTAACAGGGGACCCGGCTTGAGCTCCCCTATGTGCTGTGTGTACCAGCGCCCGCCTCCACCTCCGCAGAGCCGTGCTTCATGGGGCCACTCGAGAGCCTAGTGCCCTGAAGTTCAGAGAGCATCTCACCTTGG